AAATATGACTCCATCCTAATATCAAATTCTTTAGCTATCCAGGAATGTTACAGTCAAAAAGGAACATATTCTATGTCCAAAGACAAAGTTTTAACAATTTAATATCAATATTATATAGGTAGAAAATTCTGAATATGTTTGGAGGTTACATATATAAATATTCCCTACAACATGGCAAGAAAACGAGTCTATTGGCATGCAACGCTAATTTAGCTTATTTCCTTCTCATTTTTCTCTCTCTCTCCCTACTAAAGCTATAAGTATCAATTACTACTCACTGTTGCACAAACATACTTTACTAATGAAAGCATACCCTGCTTTCCTTACTACAATAATTAGAAAACAACATGAGGTTTAGTTTTATTTTCACTTTATAGCCAAAAACAGTTACTGTAACATATTTTGAACTTGAAAAATCAGCCTTAATAAACAACACAATATGTAGTGGCCTACTTAAAAAAGGTTATTCAACCTTTCTTAACATTCTTTGAGACAATCTTACTACTATTAAACTCTGAATATGCTAAATCAAAGGCTGATGCAGATCATTCTGAATCCCTCAGGACACAGAAGGAACACACACATCTTCAGTAAGTATTTCTTACAGAAAAAGACAATTGCTCCTACTATTCAGTTATTTCAAGAACCAGCTTCCTTTAAAATCTGAGACAGGTAGTGAATGATTCTGCTTGGAATCATTTACACTTTAAAGACCTTTGAAACTACTGTGAAAAAAGAGCAATTCCAAAGTCATCTTTGTTTTCAGAGCAAAACAATGGTGTGCACACCTGCTGAACCTAATCATCACAAACAGAGTCTCTATTGTGTGTATCTTACCACTCTTCCCTTACTTGATCATTTTTTAAAAGGTTAATACTACTGTTATTCATTTGCACTAAACCAGAGTTTCATGTTTTAAATATACTTAATAATTTAGTAATCGAAACTGTTCACAGGTTACAGTTAAAACTAGTGATGGGCAATTTACTGGCAGAAAAAGAGATTAGTTGACAATAAATAGTTATTAAATCTTAACAGAATTTTGACCATTTTCTCCCCAGCTAATTAAAATGAAATCACTATTATTTGGAAACATATATTGTTAGCAGTTTTGTTTCAGAATGAATTGTTGCCAAGAAAGCATACACATTAAAAAAAGACTTTATGTAGGAACAGACTTGGTGTATGTAAGTTACATTTTTAACCAACTGTAAAACAAAGAGTTACAACCAGCTGACAGCAGTTAAAAAAATTAATTGCCTTTCAATATAATTAACTGTAATGAATTATTTGTATATACCTGATGAATAAAATATATGCTCACAGAAGACATTTTCTTAGTTTACAATCAAGCATATTTTGCTTATTTATCTGGATTTCTAATGTATGTATATATGCAAACTTCATTCATGAAACAAAATGCTTTCAAAGATGTTTTCTTTATCATTATCTTTATAATGATAATACCACCTGTCTCTATACAAAAATCTCTGTTTCTCGGGGCTGAGAAAAGCATTTCACAACCAACGTAGGAATTTTCAAGACTAGGAACTGAATGCTCACATAATTACCAAATCAAAAAGTCAGATTGTTTTTGAATACCCAACTGAAATTTCTATAGGAAGTATTCTACAATGCTATTTTAATCATTATTCTGTGAAAGCCAAGCATGGCCTTCTATGTCACACAATAACCCACTTTTTCCTTAAAAAAAATCTAATCCTCTTAAGTTAGAAATGTATCTAATCATTGTCCACAGTAAACATGGTGGGGGTTTTTTTTTTCAGGATACATTCCAAGTGGGTAGAATAATTATTTCAATCATGAGGAACGTAGGTTATAGCACAGTGGCATTATCAAAGAAGGTGAATTTAGTGTTTGTAATAGTTTTAATAAAGGTGTGATAGAAGTTGTTTTATGTGGGATGTGTAAAAATTTGCAGGGAAAATTATGGGACTTATTTGATGTGTTGAAGCTTGTTAAACCAAAAAATAGAAATCATACCTCAGGCTTTTAAAGTTTGGCACAAATATTAAAAGTCATGATTTATGGGGTATTAGGGGCTCTAGCAAATACATTAAAGTTGCTCTGCCATGAAAAAATGAAAAAAAAGCATGTAATGAAGATTCTTGCTGGATATTCTTTACCCCATTAACAATATGTAGCAAATTCAAGAGAGTTATACAACCTAATCATTATGATTTAGAAGCTAAAAATTGTTTAAGAAAAGCTGTTGGGTTGCGCCATGAGATATATTGCATATATCCCAGGTATGCCGACTTGATAATACTGTAACTGCAACCATGGTCTAAATGTATTACTGTAGGAATCCCAATTTCCCCAATGTGTAAGCCCACTTCTGAATATGGTGGTATAAGTTCAGGACAAATATGCATAATAGCTGCTGATATTGTTGATTGAACACATTACAATAAGCTTGGAATGCACATAGCTAAGCCCTCTTATTAAACAAGGAACATTTATTCTTTTCTTGGGTTCCAATATATCCAGCTAGATGAGAGGCTTCTCTATTGTATCACTTAATTCCATGAAACAATGGAAATCCCACCAGCAGAAGCAGATTTACAGATATGCACAGAATATAGTATCCAGTGACATTACTGAATATATTTCTGAAAGGTTCTGGAGCAGAGGTTATCTAATAGCAGATTTTGGAAAGCTAGAAAAACATCCCAATGGAATTTAATGGGGCTTTTCCCTTGAGATGTTTAGGATGCACGGATAATGAATGTATAACAACTGCAATTCCATTTTGGGAAACTGGAGGTAGGGAAGATGTGATACACAGTTTAAGTAGGGTTAGGAGCATCCAGAAAATCCTAAATTTCCACTTTCACTTGCCCAATATGATCCACGGGAATACACAAGTACTGTGCTACTTAGTTACTTTTGAAATTTCTACAAAACACAGAAAAACAATATCTGCATATACAAGCATGGAGAAAAAATTATACACTTTAAACAAAATGTTGAGAATGAAATCCTATTACTGATCATCTTCCTTTAGCTGAGATTTATAAAGAAAATTGTATTTCTCTTTGTAAAAATGCAAAGAAAAATAGTTGCATCTTTTTATGCTTCACATGTCACTAAACACTATGCATACATGAATGTTGAAATAGAATTATCCCAGCATGATTGTCTGGGCACACAATTATCAAGCCATGTACTAGATTTTTCAAAATAACTCCAAGAACCACAAAGCTAAATAGGACACCTGTAAAGAGCCACAGGAAATAAATTAGCTTCTTGCTTTTAGGAACCACTTTTAAAAAATCCTGTTTATGAGTGAATAACCCAATAGTGTGCAGAACTGTGCAAACTGTTTCATCATAACCTATTTATGTCAATGGAATGAGACAGTCTGACCTCTGATTCTTTTGAGAAAGATCAAGCAAATTAGTAGTTAGTAAACTGATCTATTGCTATTCTCCTTACAAAGTCATATCTGTTGGATCCAAGTTAGGGAAACTAAGATATGCAGTCTTGTTCCATTTTCAATATATGCAGAAACACACATGCAGAAACATACACATAGTCCTTTAATGGGATGATAATAGATAGAAATCACTCCAATTAAGAGTAATTTTGAGATTCAAGTAATTTATGGGTCTTAAGTTGATGTCTATTAAAAATAGTGCAGAAAGCTATTCATAACGTTTCTCTACTAATGCTAAGTCAATGGATCTTTAATGTTTCTGGGTCAGATACAAAAATCACTGGCTTTTTATCACAGCTCTATTAAATAACTAATTCTCACATTCCCGTGTACACTGGGAGTGTGCAAACATGTTCAAAAATTAAGCAACTGAACAAGGAGAATAAAAGGACTTTATTTCTAAAGTTATATGTTACCTGATTCCCAGCAACTTATCAAAATAAGACAATAAGCTATCTAAGCTGATAACAGGGCTTTGATGTATATCAATCAAGTCATTATATACAAAATCATGCCATTCTTTTTTTTTGTCTTAAATACTGAAAAGCATGGCCACTTACACATCACGATATACCATATTATGTTAATTTTCAAAAATAAAACATACTCCACCCTTTATTTGGGGAACATGAATGATTATTATAGATCTACTTTAACCAGGCAAGCTTACTTTAGGCAGTTTCCAACCAAGCCAATAAGTTTTTACTCTTCAGTAAAAGGGTATACAGGGTGGCAGCTTAAAACTGCCTTCAGAAATGGATACAGGTTCTTTTACACATCTTCAACGTTGTCACTTAAAACTAGTATTGTTTCATGTAAGTTATTTCCACCTCCAGGTTACAAAACCGCTTAAATGTATACGTCTTCACCTTTCAAACCTCAAACATACCCAGCCCGAGCTTTAGCGGTTACAAATGACTGAATCGCTTCGGTAAATCAGCCAACTGCTGCTATACTAATTAAAATCGCCACTTCCGCTATCAACGCCGGTTGAACAAGTAGCCAAGTCAACCAGCGGCGCGACTCCCAAAACGGGAGCATTCATCCGGTGGGACAGCTCGCTTAGGGTCAAGAGATCAGCCCGATAGGACCAGCTTTAAGAAGCTTCTCGGATCGATTTCGCTGGGAAAAGGCAGGCTTGCGAGCTTCTTAAGAAGCTACAAAGTTCAGTGAAAAGCGCAGAGTACCAGTGGCTCAGTATGGATCGACCTGTGTTGCGAGCCTGTTTTCCTCCCTGATGGCTCCTCGGGAATAAATGGTGCTGAGTGAGGAGGTCTAATTTCTAACGAATGCATTTCAGCCCCATCCATTTCGTCTTCTGCACTCCATAAATGCACCCTAAGCGCCGAAGCCCACTTGTGAACCTCAGCCCAAACTGCCGCCTAAGGCTGCGGTCCATCGCCTGCGCATCTCTGAGAACAAATCCCATTGAGTTCAAAGGACTTTTCCGACTAGACCTGGCCAAGAGGGGAAAACGAGAAGTCACTCGGGTTTCATTAAGGCGCGGCGCGGCTACTGGTTTGGGTGTTTTTCCCCATACCTGGAAATGCTTGAAAAAGGCAGAGATACGCGTAATCTGCAAGCTGAGACACCTGGAGCTGCATCTGGCTCCATAAATACTGGTGGCGGAGAAGAACTCGTCCTGCTGGCGAGCCGCCGCCGCCGCTGCTGTTTCTCCAGCCCAGGCAGTGCAGCCGGGCAGGCAGCCCCAGGAAGCGGTAATCCAAAGGAGAAGAGTCAAAGGAACGCCGGGCTCCTTAAACCCCATGGCTTCGTGCGCAGCCGGGTGCGGGAGGAAAAAACAACCCCAACAGCACTAAACACTCTGCACCGCGTGCAATTGCGCCGCTTCACCTCGCAAAGGGAGAGGGAGGCGGCGGCGGACGCGAAGCCTCAGCGCAGCAAAAACTCTCGCGGAAAAAAGTTCAATCATTCAACTCTCTTCAATAACCCCCCCCCCCCCTCCCCTTCTAGTTTTCAGCTCGCAGCCCTTCCCTCACTCCCAAGAGGACAAGGAGGTGGGGAAAGGGTGGCAGAAGACTGCCCGATTGGCTGCGGAAGACCGGAGTGACAGGGCGGTTAGGAGGGGCGGAGTGTCTGACCGCAAGGAGGTCGCGCGAGCGGAGAGGCGGGGGGTCACGAGAGGAGTCTGAGGCGGCGAGCCGCTTTGGGGTTCGTAACTTTGCCTCCCGCGTTGGGCGCCGCGCTGTGGCCAGGAATTGTTGGGAAGGGCCTTTTGCACCCCGCGCGTAACACCTGCCTTGGCTCCCTCGCGAAGCTGGGCAAAGGAAAAAGAATCTAGCAGACGCCCACGTTGAGACTGGGGTTATATAAGCTTCGTTTAACCTGTCCACGCCTTTTAAGAGTCACACAGGCTATTGTTGAGGGTTCAATTTGGTTAAAGTTAGGGGCGCCGAAAGCAAGTTCGGTAGGCGGGGTTGCTGACTTTTAAAATCCTCAACCCTAGTATGAGGAGCGCCCCTTCATTCTTGGTCTTAGATCTTCTCCACGGACACACCCAAACACGGGCACAGACTGCTCTTGGTTTGATAATAGTACAATAAACCTACATAGACAAGAAACTTGGGTGGAGCGGTAGCTCGTGGCGGCACACAGGCAATTTTTGCCTGGTTGGAAAAACAACTTTGAATTGCCTTTGTCAATCAGCTTGGCCATTGGGAAATAAAACCTGTATATCTATGCTCGATATAAAATTTTCGCACTGAGGCAATTGCCTAAATGGACACATCAAATCGAAGCCATGAGGCATCTATTATTCTTTGAAATCCACTGATGCATAGAACCTATTAGTACTGAGAATCTATTGAGGCATGGAATCGAAAAAATGTTACACTTGTCATTTTTTTTTCCTCCTTGGCACTGAACCCCTTCAGGACAAGTACCTATGTAGATTTCATGTTTTCATTCATTATTAAATGAGTACTCAAATGACTAATCACAAGGTTTAGAGAGATGAGATAATGTTCTAGAACTGGATTTTAATATTTAAACATATGGCACAATGTGTAATTTAAAATGTTTCATATAAAATTAGCATAGGAATATTTTTATACAAAATTAGCTGAAGTTCCGGTAAATACTGCATATAGTGACAAATGCCTAAAGTGAGGGTGGCAATCCAAGCACTTCACAGCCTTAGTTTGAGAGCAGGGCTAATTTAAATCGTTGACTTTGTCCAAAATGCAAAAATGAACATTTTGGTAAATCAGTAGGCACATTCTCTGTAACCCAAAGTTAATCCTCAAATTCTCAAAAAAATCCCCATCCTGGCATAAACCATCCTAACATAAAAATGATCTGAAATCATTCAAATATTGTGGTAGTTTCTATACAATGTCTTTGCATCAGACATTGAAGTAAAAAAAAGAAACATCATTAAAATACAGTAGAAATTGTAGCAGAGACTGACTGAGTCAAGTAAGAAGTCAAGTGGGGAATTAGTCTGGAATTGTTATGTAAGCATAAGAGGGCATATTCCTCCTTGAATGCAGTTGAACCTTGTCTAGTCTGGTCCAGGTGCAGCCTGGAGAGATTCCTGTGAAATAGGCATGAGCAATAACGTAGCTAACTGAACTCTTGACAAACACATAAAATGTTAAACAAATCCTCAGGAAATCAAAATGCTAACTGTGAAAACTGCATCTGTGAAAACTGCCACTTTGTGCTAAAGCAAAGGGGCTTTGGGAAGTGGACATATTTTAAGAAGGAAGTGTGACCAAACTGTGGAAAGTGAATTTCACTAAGACAGTAGTGTCTTAAAAAACAGGAAAAGCCCAAGGGGAACATCAGGTCAGCCAGAAAACAAACTTACATAGGAAAAGGAATCAAATAAAAAGTATTAAAGAATCCCTATAGACAAAAGCCTAAGTAATTAAGAAAACTAGACAAATAGGGAAAGGAAACAAAAGATAATTTAGAAAACCCTTACAAAGGACATACCAAATAAGCAAAACAGACAAAAGACGCAAAATATAAATTATAAAAGGGACAGACAGGAGATTGCCACAGAACAAATATGAAAAACTATCTAAAAGAGATTACAGAAAACCAATAATACAATCTGGCCATCCCACGGAGTTTGCCCTCCAGCGGAAATAAAGACAAACTCAAACAGGATTTGAAACATTAGCCACAAATACAAACACACAAAATCAACTTACAAAAGGAAAAAAGGGTATAAAAAACCAGGGACTTACCATAAGAAGCTTCTCGCTGTTCTCCGCCTTCCTGAAAAATAAAAAGATCCAGCTTTCAAGCAGTTGTCTGTATCCTTGCGCCAGAGCTCTCCCAGCGGGAAAATCGAATCCTCAAAAGAAAGGCATTTTGACACTTTTCAGCAAAACATATTCGTATAAAATAATCCCACAAGTTGCCTCTGCTATATAAAATCTTGTTTTGATTATTTGTTCAAATTTACGCTTCCCTGGGCCTTTTCAATCTTATTCAGTATTTATAAATATATAATTATGAATGCAGTGTAACAGCTGTAGACAACTTAATGAGAGATCTCTGAATAGTCATGTATAAAATACTGAGCTGTACTTGTTAGATTTTCTATAGAATGAGCATTTCTTTAATTTGCTCAAGCTTTATGTGCCCTGTTAGTCAAAAGCAATCTGAGTACCAATGTAATTATATTGATATCAGTGTGTGATAAAAGACAATTTGGAGAACTACCTATTAATTAACCACTAGCCAGTTTGATCTAGTGGGTAAGGCACCAGGCTAGAAACTGGGAGACTGAGTTCTACTCTTGCCTTAGGCATGAAAGCTGACTGTGTGACTTTGGGCTAGTCACTCATTCTTAGCCCAACCCATCTTACAGTTGAGGAAAATAGGAGGAAGGAGGCGGATTAGGTATATTTGCTGCCTTGACTTATAAAAATGTGGGATAAAAATAAGTTAATGTTTTAATGCTCCGAACATTTTTAGAATAACTGCAGGATTCTATACTACAGTAATCTTACCAATTAATTTTCTGGATATTTTATAAGGAAGTGATACAGCAGCATTAATCAGATCTATACCATTTATTGTCTCCTGGTTTACTTTAATGACATAAATCTTATTCTACCCCTGAAGACTTTGAAAAAGAAATGTCAAGAACTATAGCTTGGCAATCTAGACCTAAATATATTTATTTGGAAATAGGCACTATTGGTTTTAGCAAGAATTGAAACTAAATAAAGTTAAACCATTTTCAAGCTGAACATTAGTGGTGAAACTCACATAAAATTTCAATGTGTTCGTTATAACAAGTTCCCTGAAGTAAACATTACAGCATTTATCTTGAACTGAGGAAAAAGAAATGGCTGCTACCACTTCATAATATCTGAAACTTTGGGCTGAATCAGTAGAACTGAATAGGCCTTATTGTATCTATAGCCATCAGTGTGCCTCTAAAAACTTTCTGTACTAAAGTATCTACTTCCTACCGTATCTGAAATTATTTTTAATATTGTTTTAGTTACAATTAAGTAACTATCAACTTCTGTTATCTTTAGTTACAAAAATTTTCTGGGCCTCACATGAATCCCACATAAAATAAAATTATTGGCTGCCAATCATTCTATGGAAAAGTGCTTTCCATCTGAAGAAAAGGAAAAGAGTCATAAAGAATATTTCAGGCTAAACAGAACTACTTTGAGGATGCAAATAAACCAGGTAGATGGTTAGCATATAAGTTGAGAAAAGAGAAAGAATCAAGGAAAATACTGCAGTTAATAGATGACCAAGGTCAAGTCTGCCATGGCAACAAAGAAAAGAAGGAAATTATCTGAGATTTTTATGGGAAATTATATAAGCAAGAGAATATCGATGAAGGAAGAGTTAAGCAGTATTTACAGAATGCTAATTTACGCAAGATACCTAAAGAGACTGAAAAAATGCTAGAAAGCAATATAACGATGATGGAGTTAACTGAAGCACTTAAGAAGCAAAATAATGGAAAAGCACCAGGTCCAGATGGACGTCCGGCAGAATTTTATAAAACATTACAAGAAGCGTTGAATCTTCCATTGCTAGAAGTTATGAATGAAGTTATGTTAAAGAAGAAGATACCCCAATCATGGTCAGAAGCCTATATCACACTTGTTCCAAAAGAGGAGACTGATCCATTACAAATCAAGAACTATAGACCTATTTCCCTGCTAAATGCAGATTATAAAATCTTTGCTTCAATATTGGCAGAAAGACTTAAAAAATATCTAAATAACTTTATTCATTCTGATCAAAATGGATTTCTGCCAAAGAGACAAATCAAAGATAATATGAGAGTAATTTTGGATACTTTGGAATACTATGAGGCACACCCTGAAAAGCAAATGGCTTTGATATTTCTGGATGCACAAAAGGCATTTGATAATGTGAACTGGCGATTCATGTTGTCATTGTTGGGACAGATGGGGTTTGCCTGAAAATTTATTCAAGCAGTAGAACCCATATGCTACAAGCAAACAGCGAAGGTAATGATAGAGGGAGAATTGACAGACTCTATTAATATAAGAAAAGGAACAAGACAAGGGTGCCCACTATCACCTTTGCTATTTGTGTTAACTTTGGAAGTGTTAAATAGAAATATTAGAGACGAAAGGAGTATAAGAGGAATGAAAATTAAAAAGGAAGAATTTAAATTGCAAGCCTTTGCAGATGATTTGGTTTTTATCTTAGAAGACCCTTTAGAAACAGCACCAAAATTGCTGGAAAAGATAGTATATGGTAAGGTGGCTGGTTTGAAAATTAATAAAGATAAGACAAAGATTTTGACAAAGAATATGTTATTAAGACAAAAGGAAGAATTGGCAGATCTATTGAAAATTCAAGTCACGAATAAGATTAAGTATTTGGGGA